GAGAACACATGCACATGCACATGCACATGTACTTGGTGTGATTTTCAAACTGCCTGGTCCAGAACTTGAACCATGCTTGGCCATGTGGAAATCCAGCACTTTAACCTCCATGCCACCTGCTTGACCCAAGAATGTGTATCTTTCTATTCTCTCCATAAAACACATTTCCAATTCATGCAGAAAGGGCAGAAAATCAAGATATTTTCTACCAAACTTAAATTTGTAACAATTACTAAAACAGAATTACTGTATAAAAGGAAATAATGATAATTCCAAACAGTTCTCTTCTCAGGTATTACTCATGTGAAATCAATTTAGAAAGTATACTGATTAACAGTTTTAAGTCCCTAGATCCTATCAGTAAACAGTCTCTAAAAATAGACTTTCAGTTTACTCTTTTGTGTATTTTATCTTTTTTGTATCTGTATCTATTTTGTGTTTTGGTCCAATTGAACCAAGTAATACAGATATATGTACTCCATAATTAAGTCTAAGTCACTGAGGCAGAGAGCAAGGTAAGATCAACAAAAGTTTTATATATTTAACATTATTCCTAAGACTCATTTCCACAAAGTTGTAAGTAGTTAAATTATGAAATCAGTAGTTTATGCTGGCATACTCTTCAGACAGGACTGAAAATAAAAAGCCCCCATCACTAATTGTCAAGAATAGAGCTTATTACTAAGTTAATAGGATCATAATTTAATGGAAGTAGAAGCTTCCTTTTAAAAAAAAATATGGGTAAATTCGGGAGCCAGCAAGTGGCATGGTGGTTAAAGTCATTGGATTCCAACATGGCTGACCATGGTTTTAGACCCAAATGTGGTGGCTTGCTCTGTCTCTCGTAATCACACATGCTCTATAGCAAATTTAAAACAAAAATAATAGTAATAGTAGGTAAAAAATAAATAATTCTTAAAAAAATGTGTAAGTTTGTTCATTCTTTTAGCCATACTCTTCTATTTTGCCTTGTTTAATTCTGGTTATCTTTTGGGTCTATGTCTTTTATTCAGAAATTTTTCCTTTAGCTACCACACTTAAACAGTGCTCCTGTTATAATTTCTAGTTATACTTTATACATTTAGTTTTTAAAATTATGAATTATATTTTTATATGTCTGTGTAATTATTAAGTAGTTGTATGACCTGTCTCTATAAACTGTCAGTCTGATGTGTTTTCTTTTCCTTTTTTTAAAATTTTTCATTTGTTTGTTTCCTTAATATCTCCGGCACCCGTGTAAGGCCTAATACTAGTGGCACTCAATGTTTGTTAAATGAATGAGCAAATGAATGGATAACATGAATAATCACTTCTCATTCCCAGTTCGAAAGCCCGTGCTTTATCAAAATCGAAAGAAAACAGTGGTTAGACTATCATTGAATCTCACCCTTACAATAACATGAATCAGGGGTTGACAGTTCAGTTGCTTTCAACAAATCAATTTCAGAACATCCACATTCCTTCTCTTGTAGACTACATTTATCATATGTTTGATCTAGGAAATAGTATTACATTTTAATAGCAAGAAGAAATGTGAAAATTCACTGAAAGCAAATTACTTGGAAATATTGTGTGTTGGAAATAAAACAGAAAAGGAAATTCACATAGATTGTTTTGGATTGTTACTGGAAAGACAGAACTAACATGTCTTAAGTGTATGCTATGTTCCTGAGTTTCATCATAAATTTAAAGATGGAAATTATTATCCTTATTTAGTAACAGAAGAAACTAAAAGTCAAAATTTAAATCAGTCAAATAACTAATAAGTAGCTACCATGTGGGAGTACAGAACACAGTTAAATATTCACAACTCTAAAATACAAACATGGGCTTTTCATTACAGTAAATGATCTCCTTTAAAAAATATATAATTTTGGGACCAGCAGTTGGTGTAATGGCTATGTTGCTGGACTCCCATGTAGTCGACCACAGTTTGTGTCCTGGAACCAGTGGCTTAAATTCACTTGGGGCACCTGTGTGTGTGCATGCCCAAGATCCCAAGAGGAGAATGCAGGAGAAGGGATTGAGGGGTGGCCATACCCTCGGGGAGTGATTTCTTGCTTTCTGTCTCTCTGTCTTTTTGGCAAGTGCACGTGCCCTATAGCAAGAAAACTCTCAAAAAAAAAAAATACCATATATATTATATATAATTTCAATGTCTGTGTTCTTACTCTAACCAATATTCATTAATAAACATATACTTGATATTATTTGATTTATAGTAACATTTAAAATGATTAAATATAAATGTATTTCTCTACTAGAAATATTCAAGAAATAAAAGAGCATCTGAGGGCCTGATATTTTTATGTAAAAGGAAACAAAAATTGTGTTATTCATTAAAAACCTAAAAATTAGTGAAAAAATTATAAAGCTACATAGAAATGCAACCATTGCTTAAGAGTTCTATCTAAATGCAAACATTGCTTAAGAGTTCTATCTAATTGCATCCAAAAAAGCAGCACCCAGGCAGCCAAAAAAACAAAGAGAGCTACAATGATAGACACAGGTTTGTAAGATACATTAGAATGTAAAAACTGGGTTACAAAACAGCATAGTTACATGTGATCACATTCATCAAAGAACTGGGGATAGTGATAGAGAAATGACATGTTCAAACAATTCTAAAAGGTTTTCTTATGCTGGGCATTTCCATGTTTGCTTTCAGGACCATTTCTCCATTCCCCTGCACTGGGGACCCAAAACTACTTCCGGGCCTTCTTACCAACTGTCTTTCCTTTTTATTTGACAATCACTAGAAAGCATATGTGAATGATAGAGGTGTGAAAAGGAAGAGGCAAGGTATCTAGCTCTTTCCTTATCTTCCTAGTGTGAAAGACAGAGGCCTCCACCATGGTATCAGCTCCACCCAGTCCCTCCCCCCAGGGTCCATGATTCTCATTTATGCTAGGCAGCACAAATAATACATTATCCTTTTTCCTCTACCCTGAAAGTGGGAGCACCTTTCTTATCTTGCCTATTTGTTTGCCTCTTTGGCTCACTAACATTTTTCTAAGTACTGTTCTATTAAATTATCTTTATTCAATTTCCTGATAGCAGTTCTCTTTTCTGACTGGATGCTAACCAACCCTATTTTGACATCCTAACATCTCTGAATTGGAACTTATCATTTTCACTGACGAGAAAGCCTAACTGACTTACTTGGGTTTCCTGTGCATCTCCATCAAAACTTGCAGGATGGGTATGAGTAGCTGAAATGATCTCAGAGAAGAAATAAAGACATTCTTTTAAGAAAAGTTGCATCACCTACACTCTTGTAGTTGCAAAAGATATTATGGGGGAAAAAAGAGAATACATTGATCCCAAGGCAAAAAGTGATTCACCTGAGTAAGCATCCCAAAAAAAGACAATTTAGTAATATCTTAATAGGTTTTGCTTATATAACCCTTTTTATGTACTTTCAAATGTGACATATGATTTAAGTATTTGTCCATATATGTCTAAAAGGCTCTTTTAATACATAAAAAATAATGTAGTGGGCAAGAATTAAATCAGTCTTCATTGGCAGGCTATTTTATTTCTTAACGGCATATAAAATAATGGAGCATCTTAGATTAATGGCTTCTTAAATTGGATGAAATATACATACATACAAAACACAAGTAAGAATTGTTTCCAAGTTGGAGGTGGGGATTTGTATGTTTTTCAGCTTCTTTGTAAATTTACTTCATTAATACTTTTTTTTTTTGGAGAGGTTTTTCGCTATATGGCGCGTGCGCTCGCCAGACAGACTGAGAGAGACATAGAGACAGAAAGCGAGAAATCAACCCCCAGGAGGGATGGTCACGCCGCAATCCCTTCTCCTTTGTCATGCCGCAATCCCTTCTCCTCCATTCTCCTCTCCGGATCTTGGGCACAATGCACATGCACCCGGCATGAGTTTTAAGCCACCGGGTCCAGGACGCGAACCGCGATCGACTACGTGGGAGTCCAGCGACATAGCCATTACACTAACTGCTGGTTCCCAATACTTTTTGATTAAATTATTATGTTAAAGCATTTTTTACAATAAGGATGCATTATGACATAAGATAATAAGCAAGAATAACTAAAATAGGAACAAAAAGTATATTCTAGACTTCTTGCTTATGTAGCAGAGTCTGCATTCAAACCTGCCTTACTAATGCTTCTACTATATTACTCTCTCGGATTAATCAACACTGTAGTGCTTAAATCTACCAGTATTTCCCTTTGTCATTAACTGAGCCAGCAGAGATTATTGACATCTCTTTACTGTGTTTAAAATATTTTTAAATGGTCTCTTAGTTGATAGGTATGCTATATTTAAATTAGAATGTTATCCAATAAATTGTTGCTGGCAATGAAATGGACCCAAAATTTGGGATGTTCAGCTGAATATCTTAAATAATAAAAAGATCATTATACTAAATGTGGCAAAATACACTACCAGGATAATAAACTCTGAATTAAAACTGCAAAGCATAATGCCAGGTTGACATTTTTCTAATAACATTCCTAGTTGTCAGGATGATAGGAGTAGGATAATACAGGAAGGGGCACACACACAGTAATTACAAAATTCCAGGCTCTGTTTGAAGTACTTTACATGTTTATTCGTTTTATTTCTCCAACAGCACTATGCCATACTATTATGTCTAACTTACATGTGTAGACTAGTAAAAGAAGCCAGAATACTTTGAAAAAAGAATAAATATATATAATTTCAGAAGGTAAACCTTTGCAGTTTTAAAGAGATAGTCTCCAACCTTATTATATTGATGTATCCTAAACACCATAAAGAAAGTAAGATCACCTAAATTTCTGAAAATCAGACTAGAACCTTTTTTTTTAAGTTTCCGATAGAAGTGACAGTGATTACTAAACAGGTGTATTAACTTCAGCAATGCTATTTATAAGCTGAAAGTAACTTTTTCCCCAACATCACTGAGGTATATTTCACAATAAAAGTTGTATATATATGCTATTTATAAGCTGAAAGTAACTTTTTCTCCAACATCACTGAGGCATATTTCACAGATAAAAGTTGTATATCTTTAAGGTAGATGCCTAAATGTTTTGCTATATAATAGTCAAATGATTACAAAAATCAAGCTTATTAACACACCAATCACCTTACACAGTCAGGTGTGATGTGTGTGTGCGTGTGTGCGCACATTTACACTAATACTCAAGATAAGCTCTCTTAGTAAATTTCAAGCATATAATACATTATTAAGTATAGTCAGCATGCTCTGCACTAAGTTTCCAGAACTTACTCATCTTATAATTGGAGGTTTGCATAATTTTACCAACAATTTCCCAATTTCTGTGCCCCAAGTCCCCTGGAATCCACTTTCTATTCTGCTTCTATGAGTACATTTTTTTAAAAAAGTATTCTACATATAAGCTCTTACAGTATTTATTTATCTCATTTATTTCGATTGACATATTGTCTTCTGGGTTCATCCATTCTGTCACATATGTCAGATCCCTTTCTTTCATAAGGCTGAATTACATTCAATCATGTATTTACATCACTGTTTTTCAGACATTCATGCATCTCTGGACACTTACATTATTATGTTGGTTATTGTGAATAATGCTGGAAAGAATATGGTAGCACAGATACCTCTGTAAGCCACTGATTTTATTTCTTGTGGATATATACTCAGGAGGTGGATGCTATATCATATCGTGTCATGAAGAAAGTCATCAAACGTTTTTGCATAGGAAAATATGCCAAGACTTCCTCCATGACCTAATGTAATAATTTTACATTTAATTTTTGAGGCATCTTCATAATAATCTCCATAGTGGCTATACCAATTTACATTCCTATAACAGTATACAAGGGTTCTTTTTCTCCACATATCTAATTTTTCCAACATACTTTATGGAAGAGACTATCTTTTACCCATTATTGGCATTTTTGGTGTCTTAGTTGAAAAGTAGTTGACTTAATATGTAAGTTTTTTTTCTGGGCTTTCTGTTTTCTTCCACTGATCTATGCATGTTTCAATGTCAGTGCATTACCAATTGATTACTATAGTTTTGTAATATATTTTTAAATCAGAAAATATAATGTCTCCACCTTTATTCTTCTTGCTCAAGATCACTTTACCTATTTGAGGTTGTTTGTGGTTCCATACAAATTAATACGTGTGTGTGTGTCTGTGAAAAAATGCCATTAGAATTTTGATAGAGATTGTACTGAATGAGTAGAATGTTTTGGTTACTATGGACATTTTAACATTATGCCTCGAAGCGAGCAGCCTTGCCAGACCCCAGGCTACCTGTGGCTGCAGGGCCTTTCAGGACCCTTGGCTCAGCTCCCCACCATCCCAGCCCCCCACCATCCCAGCCCCAACTCGCCTTTGGACTTCAAGTTTGTGTCTTACAACTTTAAGACAATTTGTGCCCCTCCTCACCCCATCTGGAGACCAGAGACGGATTCAAGAGGAGCCTTGCCAAACGCCAGGCTGCCTGTGTCTACAAGGCCTAATAGCTGGTACATCCCCCCTTTAACCACAGCTTCTAAGTAAATAGTCATTAATATAAATGAGCTAAAGGAACACTTTCTTATTAGCTTCCTTTTTTATTTTCCTAAGTAAAAGTATCATGACTGAGATTCTCACCATGGCCTTCAAACATGTCTGCTCAGTCCATTCCATTCAGAAGTTAGACAATGACAATAACAGCAACAAAATGATGTATTTCAGCTTCACCTTTCTCCATTTCTGACGAAACTCTCAAGAGTAATCTAACTTCACCCATCATTTTCATGGTTATGCCTTGCAGTGAGTCTTCTTTTTCTTTTAGTTCTCCAAAAAAGTAGAAGGTAAGAAATATTCCTGTGTAACTCCTATTCCAACACACGCACAGTATGCTCCATTATTAACATTCTCCATGGAGTGGTGTTTATTACAACTAATGAACCAAAATCAACATAGTCTCCCAAAGTCCATAGTTTATGTCAGGTTCACTCTTAGCACTATAGATTTATGGGTTTCACAAATGTATAACATGTTCCCAACATTTCTGGATTATACAGAGTATTCACCAATCTAAAGATCTTCTGTGCATGCCTATTTTTCCCTCTCTGCCACTAACTCTTAGCGACCATTGATTTTTTATTTTTACTGTTTTCAAGGTTTTCTTTTTCCAGAATGTAATATAGTTGAAATCATATAGTATGCAGCCTCTTCAGACTGGTTTCTTTCACTTCGTTATATACACTTAAGTTTTCACCATTATCTTCTCATGGCTTGATATTTTTTTCTTAGCATTGAATAATATTTCATTGTCTGAATGTTCCGCAGTTTAACTATTCACCTAATGAAGGACATCTTGATTGTTTCTAAGTTTTGGTAAATTAGAAAAAATAAATAAAAAAGCTGATATAAAGTTCCACATGGCAGGTTTTTCTGTGCATACTCAGTTCTTCTGGGTAAATACCAAGGACCACAATTACAGTCTTCTGATAAGAGAATGTTTAGTTTTGTAAGAAATTGCCAAACTATATGTGAAAGTAGCTGCACCATTTTGCATTTCCATTAGCGATGAATGAGAGTTTTGCTTCTCCATGTCCTTGCCAGCATGTGGTAGTCAGTGCTCTAGATTTTGGTCATTCTAATAGGCAAACAGTTGTATCTTGTTAAAACCAGGGAGTCCTGGATCCCCTGAACTACAATATTTCCTCCAGTACTTCACTGAAATTGCTTGAAACTGTCCTCTGGATTATCAGACTCTTCATTTTTCATCTGCCTTGCTTTCAAACGGTATCTGCCTTACTTACCTTTAACTAGTGATAGACCTAAAAAGGAATGTTTTAAAAGAGATTAACCATTTGCTTCCCTTTTCTTTTGAATGAATAATTTCCCAAACAGCACATTAGCAGGCTAAAAATGAAACATTTTTTTGAAGCTGCTTGGAAAGGTCCATTGAAGTTTTTTAACTTATTTAATTTTGTCTATTATTATTATTATCATTATTATTATTTTGATTTACTGTAGGGAACATGCACTCACCAGAGAGTGAGAGAGAGGGAAAGTGAGAAAGCAAGCTGCCAGGTCTGGGACTTGAACTGCAGCTGGATATATATATATATATTCAGTTTTTTGCCTTAGGGCCTATGAGCTCACAAGAGAGAGACAGAGACAGAGATAGGGAGAAGGAAAGTGAGAAATCATCTCCCCGAGGGGGAGATAGCCACACCACGATCACTTCTCCACCATTCTCCCCCTGGGAACTTGGGCATCCACGTACATACCCCCAGTGTGATCTTCAAGCCACCAGGTCCAGGACTTGAAGTGCAGTTGGCCATGTGGGAGTCTAGCAAAGTAACTGCTACACCATCTGCTATTCCAGTCCATTTAAATTTTAATGGTCTTCACAAATCTTGAGCATCCAGACTTTGGTTACACCTACTTCATGTATGGAATAATTGTTTATAGGTAAATCTTGCCTCAGAATAAACAAAAATGGCCAGTAAATGGTAACAGATTTATAGTGTGGCCCATCAACTTTTTTCCTCCTAAATTTCTCCTGAAATTATGGATGTAAGGTTGTCTTGTTATTTTAATAAACCAATGTGAATTTTTCCCAGTGATTTGTAACGTCTCTCTTCTGTGTTCCTCTTTGTTATAAAAATTCATTTCTCTGATACATAAATTAGTAAATGGTTGAACAACAGTAACCTGGCCAACTTTGGCCATTAGTGGAGCCAAAAGATTCCAAAAACTTCATGAATAAAATGATAAAATTTTAACCAGAATTCTTAAGCTATCTTCCAGGATGTGAAGCTCATCTGTTGTAAACTGCTGACTGGAAGCACACAGATCTCAGAGTGAATGGTGCTAAAGTCCTGGTGACTGTCCCCTTCAAGAACAAAAATGGATTACTTAAAGTCTCATCAATCAAGAAAGGCCACAAAATGATCATACCCTCTTAAACTATTATAATCATTCAAATGATATACTTGAAACCCTTTGCCTTAATTTTCCCCTTAAACATGCATGCTTGAAAGTTCTTGAGGAGATGCAAGCTTGGGCATCCACGTACATACCCCCAGTGTGATCTTCAAGCCACCAGGTCCAGGACTTGAAGTGCAGTTGGCCATGTGGGAGTCTAGCAAAGTAACTGCTACACCATCTGCTATTCCAGTCCATTTAAATTTTAATGGTCTTCACAAATCTTGAGCATCCAGACTTTGGTTACACCTACTTCATGTATGGAATAATTGTTTATAGGTAAATCTTGCCTCAGAATAAACAAAAATGGCCAGTAAATGGTAACAGATTTATAGTGTGGCCCATCAACTTTTTTCCTCCTAAATTTCTCCTGAAATTATGGATGTAAGGTTGTCTTGTTATTTTAATAAACCAATGTGAATTTTTCCCAGTGATTTGTAACTTCTCTCTTCTGTGTTCCTCTTTGTTATAAAAATTCATTTCTCTGATACATAAATTAGTAAATGGTTGAACAACAGTAACCTGGCCAACTTTGGCCATTAGTGGAGCCAAAAGATTCCAAAAACTTCATGAATAAAATGATAAAATTTTAACCAGAATTCTTAAGCTATCTTCCAGGATGTGAAGCTCATCTGTTGTAAACTGCTGACTGGAAGCACACAGATCTCAGAGTGAATGGTGCTAAAGTCCTGGTGACTGTCCCCTTCAAGAACAAAAATGGATTACTTAAAGTCTCATCAATCAAGAAAGGCCACAAAATGATCATACCCTCTTAAACTATTATAATCATTCAAATGATATACTTGAAACCCTTTGCCTTAATTTTCCCCTTAAACATGCATGCTTGAAAGTTCTTTGAGGAGATGCAAGTTTTTTTTTTTTTTTTTCCCCTTCTAGCCTTAACTGCCTGCTTTCCTTGCCTTGCACATGGCAATAAAGGTGAACTTTCCATCACCACATCCTGGTATCACAGGCAAGCTTAGTTTGATTTTGGTGATACCAGATTATTAATATTTTTATTTGCCTTCTAATGGCTCACTAATGTATGTTTCTGACTTAACAGTAGCTTTTCATTTGCTATGCTATCCAAAGATAAATAGCATTTTTATTCCTGTTACGATCTTTCTATAATTCCTCCCATAGTACCAACTATAATAATAAAAAATTATTTCTCCAGTATTTTCTCCCAATTTCAAGATTCATGTTAACTCATCCTACCCAAGGAAACATCCATATAATTCTCCAACAGAACCACAAGTATATTATATCCAAAACATAGTAGTACTAATAATAGAAATGGTGTATTTCATAGACATTATATATTTTAATCTTCATAATAATCCCTTGAAAGAAAATTATTCTACATACCTCACTACAGATAAAACCAAGAACCAAAATAACTAAGTAATGTGTAAAAGTAATGTGCGAAATGTCAAAAAGTCAAAACAAGCATAGTGACTAGAATTCAAGTCTACCTAATTGCTAACTTTACAGCTTGTCAAAACAAATTTTATATATAATAAAACCAGTTTTCTGTTTTGTTAAAAGTTCAGTTAATGACTTCGGCATCCACAAATCACTCAGATAAATCTAAGATACTATCCAGACTAGAATCTAAAAGACTTTTCTAATCGTTCTTCAGCACTATACACATCCAAGTCATTTATGATTGTGATAAAGGGATGTCAACGAAATATTTATATACATTATATACTGGCATTTCACTCTTCCATTACACTTACCTCCTAATCTCTCGTCTAAGTCATCTTCCTTATATCACCTTACTTATTCTGAAACTCAAGTTTTTATATCATTTACTTGCACTAAGTCTTTCAATTATTCTAACTGAATGCTGAGGAAGTGCAAAGTCCTAATCCTCTTATCCCCAGATCCATTATGATTTCCTGTTGATTCCCTTGCTATTCAGTCCCATTCCCTTTTGATGTAAAAGCTCTTCCTTTCATAATTGCTCCATGAATATGCCATTCACTTTCAGGTCTTCTCTGTTTCTTCTGCTTATGTTCTTTCTTTGGTCCTTATTTCTTTCATTCCCTGACCAAAAATCTAATTGGCATCTATTTATCAGTGATATGTTTAGATTTGAAGAAGCTTTTGTTTTTGTTTTTATTTTTTTTTCATATTTCTCTCTCCTAAAATAAATTGGTAAAAATCAGATACTCATTTTCACAACATACTCTTTTTTTTCCCTAGACACTCCATCATCTAAAATTTCTTAGACATAAAAGCTCACACTAAGCTCTCTGGTTTATAGACATGGTGAGATAATAATAGAAGGTTTAAATATCTATAAAGTTTTGTTTGACATGCTGGGAAGACTATGTAAGCAACAATAATTATAGTAACTTTTTTTGTAAATTAAAATCTAACAATAAGAAATGCAAAAATCCCAGTAAAACATTACATGCATGGTACCATTTCAGAGCATTTATAATTCAAAATAGATATTAATAAATTTCAGAGATAGAAAAGCATATGTATTTGTCCACAAACGGTGGAAAATCAGAAAACCATCACATCTCAAAATATATAGCTATAATTTTCTAAAAAATTTAGCTTACCACTAAGAAAATGCAAACTTAACACAAAATATTCAAATCATGAAAGAGATAAAAAAGAAATTAAAAAATTCCTATTTTAGCAAAATTCATAAAAGGCAAGAAAGTTTAATAAACATACAATCTAGAAGCATTAGGATAAACATGGATAAGCTATATAAATGTAAATTAAGACATAAAATGTTAAATTTATTAAAGAAAAAAGAAAGCAAATTTGAGCATATGTAGTTTATAATAGGAAAACTAAAAATAAATATATAAATAGATAAGCAAAACTAGATAAAGAGAAGTATTGTATAAATGGCAATTTTATATTGGAAGGCACAGGACTGAAGAAAAAGTTCAATAATGAGGCAAATGTGGGTCTTTTGTAACGAAAAAAAATCTGTAATATTATGAACATTTATATTTATAAGCCCATGTTCCCTATAATGCAGTAGTAAAATATATGAGTATTAAAAACATTGTCAATTCCTCTCCACCAAGAAAGATTCCTATCACATAACAATAATTTATCTCAAAATTCAACAAGCATAAGAGACAAAAAAGGATAAGAGATTTGACTATCACTTTCAACATTCCTAGAATTTTATACCATACTCTAAATATCAATATATGTTCTTCTAAAATTTACAAAGATTATTTATAACATTAATTATGCTCAGAGATCCAGCAAAATAGTCTACTAGGGACACAGAGGGAGAGCCCAATCAAGATGAATAGATGGCTACATTCAAGCCCAGCAGTGACATGAGACCAGGACTCTGGGAAGCCTTTGGGGTGCTGGGTAATGAGCAGAAGACAGAAAAAGAAGATCTACTGTCCAAACTCAGATAGGAGCCCAACAGAAGGAAACCACCCACAGTGTATCACAAATAGGTTTCTGCACTGGAATTCAACACTGAGATGCCTACTTCCTTTCTATCAGGCAGAAGGAACTGCATGAGTCTGCTCCCCCAAAGCTGCTAAAAGATACTATCTTGTCCACCCTATCTAAAATAGGTCTTTGTAAAACTGGTACTGTAGATCACTTTTTATTTTGTTTGTTTATTGTCATTACTTCATTTATTTATTTGAAGTTGACTAGAGAAAAAGAGAAATAGTGAGAAAGCAAGCTGCCAGATCTAGGACTTGAACTACAGTCAGCCATGTGGGAGTCCAGTCACCTTAACCACCATGCCACCTGCTGGCCCTGATCCTTTACTTTTTATTCTAATATTTTAGAATTCAAAATTCTACTAATTTTGAATTATTTACTAATTATTGTAATCCCCACCTGAACTTGAGTTCTATAAGGGCAGGGATCAAATACTATCTATTCACTATTCAATGCTCAAAATTAAGGATAATACTAAGCAAAGTATAGGAACCCTATGTAATCTATTGAATGAATAATTTTTTAAAAGCATGACAAACATTAACTCTACTTCAGGTTAGGTATTTTTTGATTTGTTAGTATTTGCTCAAACTGAAGTTCTGTAGTACTGATGCCAATGCTAAACAGGCAAGGAAGGTTTTATTCAAGTTTACTATAATAAAGGACACGGATCAGAACTGTCTGCACTCAAATCCACAAAAAGACAGTCTTGAGACTTAAGAAATAGGGGGGTGGGAGAGAAGAGAGGGTGGGATCATAGGGATGCTTCAGTTTGCTAATGACTTTACTCCAAGGAAGAGTAACTTTTCTCCTACCTTCAAGCTGTGATTTTATAACTTGAGGCAAATAGCTTTTGAGGTTAGGATTCCTAGCCTCCCACTTAATTTAGGAGATAGGACAGTTTTTCGTTAATTACATTTCCAAGGAATGGCTTCCAAGCCCTTGAGAAAGTTACAAAACTAGCAAAAAAATAAATAAATAAAAAACAAACAAGAACTTTTAAAAAAGATTTACATCTCAAAAGGGCAGAGAAACAACTCAAAATTAATACATTTTTTAAAATAACTGCTCATGGCCAACCGTGGTTCGAGTTCCCGGACCTGGTGGCTTGCTCACTCCGTCTCTGTCTCTCTCTGGTCAAAATTGAAAAATAATAATAAATAATTCCTTAAAACAAAAGTAACTGCTCAGGGGAGAGAGGGTGGAGATGGGGAAAAAACATTCAACAAAAGCAAAAGTGAAAAATTACCAGTTGATGATAATGTACATGGTAATATCCAGGACATGACTAGTATGCACTGGGAAAAATCATTTTGTATGCTGTAAGTATATCCAGTGATTAAATATTAATTTATATTAATATATATTTTTGTGAATATAGATAAACATATATAGATACATATGTGTGTGTGTGTGTACAAATGCTCTAAAGAAAGAGGAGTCCGGGACCTGAAAGTAGAAAAATAGCTTGTTTAAAATGCGAAAAAAGCTGAGGAAAACATTACGTAACTTGGTGATTGAGTAGATGCTTCGCAGTTTCGTGTCAAAGTAATTTAAACTGTGGGATTCCTACCTCTCACGGTTCCACATGGAAAGAACGGCTGAACCCTCCTCTACACAAACCCTTTTTAGTCTAACTTCTCATCCCAGGCCACTCCTT